CTAGTGGAAGGTGTCCCTGCCCATGGCAGGGGGGTTGGAACTAGATGATCTTTAAGGTCCCTTCCAACCCAAACCATTCTATGATTCTATGATTCTATGATTTAATTGCATTCTTCTAATGAAGTTTTTCTGCTAATGCATTTTTGTTCCCCCAATATGAAATGCCTAACAATTTCAATCTGTCCTTATAAGATGCCAGAAGATACACGTAGTGAGGAGGAAGACACAGAATTACCAGGAACTAATTTCATTGATGTTACTGATGTGATAAAGGTAATTATATTATAAAAGTGTCCTTTCCTTTTAAACATTTTTATATTGTTGTATATTATTCTGTCATAACTGAAAACACAAAGTAGGAAATTAGTTTACTTTACTAGCAACTATAAAAATACACATTGTGAGCAATACCGAACTGTTCACAGTGCTATAAACGATATTAGAAGTTACTGTGTGCGAGTAAGTGAAGGTCCTTTGAAGAATTACAATAAAAAAACCCTAAAATTAGCGTTTATTTGGATGTGGTAGAATCCACTAGAAATAAAAGTAGTCCTCTAAAATCAGCGATGATTATAGCACTTAGATTCAATTTCAAACTCTAAATGTAATGCATATATAAGATGCTCTTACAGATTTTAAGTAAGGTGACCTATGTTTTAAAATGTGAAAGTACTTTCTGAGTATTCCCTTTTAGAATATTTCTGTATAGAGCAATTTGCATATGCTTTTGGGGTCCTGAAATGCTGTAGTGTAATACCTCGTTTCAGTCGAACATTACGCAACTTTAAAAAAAGCCAAGACAAGCAGTGTAATTCAGCGTACGTGTGCAACGTGTGCTACTCCTCTTGTGGATCCCATGAAGAGTTTGCAGGACTTCTGTTTTGCTGGATTCCTTGCTAGTGTGTCTCTGCACATTTGATAATGTTGTTTCTGGGTGATGATAACATGGGTTATTTCAATTAAACTTTTACAGTTTGCAATCCTTTTTTTAGTTTTCTGACCACTTGCCAGTCAGAGTGGGGCTGACAAAGGCTCAAGGTTGGTGAACCAGCCTGCATTTCACTTCTCCAGATTAGGAGCAGAAGCAGAATGGTGACTGGGAAAGGCTGCCTCTGAAGGCAGCAGGAGGCGGCCACCCTGTTGTCGAGGAGTGTCTTCCCTGTGGAAGATGGCAGATTCCACCTCCTGCTGCATTTAGGACCCAGTACCAGGAGTTTGAAATTGCTGTTGCTGGCTGTATTTCTCTTGAAGTGCTTTTTCTTCAAGGTTCTTTGCAGTGAGCTAGACTTGCTGTGTGCATATCACAAACTACCTGGAAATGTATTCTTTTTACCTGTTCTGTATGCTCCTGATTTCAGGATTAGAGTGGACATGAAATATTAGCACTACAGCCTACAGATCAGTATGGGAGGTTTATTTTTAAAATTAATTCATCAGTTAACATTATCAATTAGTTAAAACAGTCCTAAAAGGTGGTTTACCTATCAAAACCGGGAAAATACTTTATTTATTTTATTTTCAAAATTACCTTATGTTATTGGAGGGGAGGAGTTAAATCTGTTTTGACAACTTTCTTCTGGTTGCACAAAAAAATCTTTGTTATAAAAATAAATAGGAAAGCTATTTAAGAAATAAGTTTATGAACTAACAAAAAAATGCTGCAATGTTACATTTTTGATATGTGAATAATAGTTATTCATATTTTCTTTTTTCATTTTTCTCCTGGATTGCTTTTATCTTTTATTTTTGGCAATGGGATATATTTTAACCACAATACGAAAAATGTTCTAAGTGAAACATATGTTTGGCCTATGACCACGAAGACAATGTTCTTAAAAATGTGCAAGACAAACACAATGTGGAAGCATAAAATCGGCCTCTGGTGTGGCAGGGGTATTTATGACATCAAAAGAAAGCAAGCTATTGTTATAAAAGAGGCTTCAGATTAATGAAAAACGTGCATAAAATGCTATACAGGCAAATAGCTTACTGTTGTCTTCCCCCCACATCCCTTTTATTATGATAACTTAATTCTGTTAGAACGGGAAAGGCTAAGTATTTGTGTGAAATATCCTTCTCCCCTCCTTCCCTGGTGGATATTGCAAAAAGGCCTCAGGACCCTGGCCCAGGCATTTCCTTTTCCTCAGGTTTGCTTTACCTTTTCTACCAGAAGATACATATGGAAGAGCTACTTCTCAGTTGAAATGCTACTCGCCGTGACAGCCCTGGGAGCGGCTGGGTTGGGGTGCTTGGTTGTCATATTCAATTATCTGGGTTCTTCCACCTCTTGTTGCTCATCTGTGCTCTGTTGCTTGAGTGGAGACAAATCTTTTATCGCACAAGCTAACAGTAATTTGTGTTATCAGTTTGGGGGACTGATGCAACGTGTCCTAACTTGTAAAACACGAGCCCTGCCATAGGAAGAGGTGATGTGCCTTGTTCTCCCATTGCTACCTCAACATTTAATGTTTAAAGACCCAGAGGTCCATCTCTCAAAGTAGTTGACTTGGGTGCTCTTATTTCACAGTAAGAAAATTCACATGTGGAAGAAAGCAGAAAAGGCTGTTACAGCTATGATTTACACACTTCTTTATTTTTGATCAGCGGTTGAGCCTTCATTCATCAATGGTTGAACAATGTAGGTTCAGACGTTCTGAACAAATGGGTTTCTAAGGCCAGCCCTTGCGTGGACCCTACCTTATTCCAGAGTGATAAACTTGTCCAGCCAACATAAGCTCAGAACAGACTCAGATTTATTAACTCTACTCTCCAGCCCATATGAGCAGCTACATCCTGCAATACCTTTAACAAACTTCCTGGGGTTTAAGATTAGAGACTCTTTTTGTTCTCTCTGAACATGCCCTTATTGCAAGCTGGGGACTTTTTTTCTCAGAGTTTTTGCTTGTTTTGAATACTACCTCAAAACATAAAACCCGCAGAGATCAGGGTGAACGTATTTTCCTCAGCCCTGGTTTTCCATGGATGCTCTTTGGGACAGTGGGTTTTTTTACATGTATAACTCTTCAGACGAAAGATCACAGGTGGCACCTGCAGTGCAGCCTGACCTTGCCTGTGAAAATCGCTTTGGAGTCCTGTCAAGAAGAAATCCGTGACTAAATCTTGGATGGCTTTAATGAAAGACTATGCATATACATGTTTGGTAGTGGAACAAAATTAATCTATACCACCTAATCATTTCAAACATTCTCTTACTTATCTGAATATAGTTTGTGAAATAGAATTTCAGCTTGATACTTTATAAGAAAGTCTAATGATTAATATTCCAATCATATCTGAAAGACTTTCCAATTTATGCCATATTTTGATTGTGAGTCATGATAGATATTTTCAACAGTCTCCAGGGAGGTAAAATGAGGAATTGAGTGCAGATTATTCAGGATCAGTCTATGAAGTGATATATGTGCAAGTTCAATCTGTATAATTAAATACCGACTGTTATACTATTTTTTTTATTTCAGTAGAGATAATATATTACCCCCAAATTAAAGTAATTTTCTTTGCGATTTGTGTACTATTAAATATAAAGTATTTTTGCACATAATTTAGAAATGCAGGAGAACTGCAGAAGTTTGTCAGAAGTTGCTAAATATGTGTAAGATTTACTGTATGTGCTTGGTTTATTTAATCCAGATGTTTGCATTTTGCCTACTTTCAGAAATGATTATATTAAATAGGCAATATCAAAGAAAATTTATGGAGTAATGCAGTCAGAAGAAAATGCATAATGAAACACTGGACAAAGACATCTTTACATTTGCTGTCAGGATGAATTATGGTTATGAATACATATATCCTAACAGAGTGAACTGCTTATCAGCTTGCAAGGCATCCAGTGCTATTCTGAGTTTAACTTCACTGTCTTTTTTTTATGCCTAGGATGGTTTAGAGATCTTTGTCACCCAAATATACATACTCTGTTTTGCCAGCTTTGTAAGTTACAGCTTCTGTTTGAAGAATTATTGCTATTTAAAGATCCAGAAAGATCCTGCTCCCCGATAGCTATTTGTTGTAATACCCATCATGGACCTATCTGACTTTTCAGTTTCAAAGTATATTAAGGCAGGAGAAAGTATTAATGCTGCTCTGGGGAAGGAGACATGAAAATGTTACTTTTTTTTTTTTCTTCTTCCTTTCTGTTCTTTCCAGTTTTAGTGATTTGTTCTTTAATTATAGAAAATATATAACATGTTTTATTTGGTTTATGGGTTAAGAGCAAATTTAGTTTATATGAAGGAAAAGAAGACTTTTTTTTCCTTTCACTGTGTTGGAGATTAATCTTAAGAAATGGAGATTTACAGTGAGGTCTTTTATGCAACATCACATGCTTCTCACTGGTAATTTAGGGCTCAGCTCTTCATCTCTGGCATGCCAAATTTTCTTCTTAAAGAATCATATTACTATTGCAGACGTTTGTTTTTAATATTAGGAGTGAAGGATGCAGGTTCTCACCCATCAGGAGACATTTCTGAAGTGTTACATTATGATATGATGGGTTGGTGACTGCTCTCTGGATTTATGTATGTGCTCGGGGGGAAAAGGAGGGTGGCATCTTTGGAAACAGTCGAACATTATATCCCACACTGAGGAATTTTCCTTTTAGAAAGAGCACATTAAGGTTAAATTCAAAATGTCTGTGAGAATCTTGTGAATTGATTACCCAGAAATACCTTTTGGCTTTCAGCAGCTGAAATTAGTGAAAGTGTAAACATACCTGTACCATGTGTGTAAACTATTAACGTCAAGTCTTTGGTGCTGGCAACTTTATTAGAGTTTTGACTAACTGCATGCTCGTTAACTTTTGGAAAGGTTTCTTTTCAGACAGGAAACTTCAAGGTAGAAGTTTAATTTCTAAAAAAACAAACCCAACAAACAAAGACCGAACCAAACAACCTAACGCAAGAATAACTGTAGAAAGCTCCCTAAACAAAGGTGGAGCGTTTCTGGAGTATGTATTAAAGAAACCTGACTTGTGTCACAAGTACATTTCTCAAGTATTAGCATTACCATTGGCTCCCTGCCCTGTGCAGCACCGGCAGGAAATATGAGCCAAATCATGTTTTACTTAGCAGTTTTTATAGCTTTATACCTCTACAGATTTATGATTTGCTAAGTTTAGAAGTGTATCAATTAACTACAACATACTAAGAAGGGAGAATGAGGTTTGTGTGCTGGGACACATCTACAAATTTACTTAAAGAAAAAAGTTACCTCAGTGGCATTACCTTCCAGAAACGCACCATAACTTAATTTACTACTTATTTATTAGGATCAGGAAGAGGAGAAGGATGAAATTCCAGAATTCTTTGAGCCTCTTCTCGAACTTAATGGAGAGTTTAAAGTTGCCTCGCCAAGATACAGTGGTCCTTTGTTTCCTCCAGTGGCTTCTGCACCTCAGCAGTCTTCTGATGTTTTGGATGAACTGATTCAAAGGAGAGAAACTATAGAAAACAGGTTGATAAAATGGTGAGTTGCAATGTAACCAGGTTGTAAGAGAATCTATATGGAAGAAGCAATGACTCCATAAGGATACCTTCCCTTTCTGCTCCTCTCCTTCCTTCTCTTCTTCTTTTTCCTTTGAGCTGCCTTGATTTTATGTCAAGAATGCTCTTTTGTATACTTTTAGCTATGTTGGTGTTTGCTGATAGTTAAATGAGCTTTATTCTACCAGGGTGGAACAAGAAATAATGGCAAAAATTATCAGTGGAATGTACCCAAGTCAGAAAGAAACAGTGCCCAATGTTAGCACGTCAGAGACTGAAGACAGTGAGAGTGTAACCTCTGACATGGGTAAGTAGGAGTTACTGTTCTCAGCAGGTGGATTATCTCAATTTTCGGCTCATTTTAAAAAGCTGCGTAGGTAGCTGTTGCCTGAGCCTAAAAATGGATAATGTTGAACCGGTGAAACTGTAAAATGCAGAAGTGCATCCTTTAATTTATGTTGAGACAGGGCAAGCGTTACAACGCCATTTAAATAAATTATCTGAAAAAGGAAAATTAACACACAAAATACACCACTGTGTAAATCAACTTCTGTTACTGGCCATCTACATCAAATTTGGCATTTTGCTGAGCCTGTAGTGTTTGTTTGCCTTTCTTTTGTTAATAGATGTGTCAAAATTACCGCCCTTCTAAATGTGTGAGAATGGGAGAGAAATACGTTTCCCCTGTGATGTCACTGCTGCCTTCGTTTATGAAACTGAATTGCTTCTCTACTGTTGTTTCTTTACCTGTAAAATAATTAAAAAAGAATCACATTTTCCAAAGGAATGTTTAAAAGTTCATGGAGAACAAAATGAGTGGCTACAGTACAGCACAGGCATTTTAAGAAACGAGACCTGGATGTGTGCTTTATGTTTCTTCATTTTCAGTTGAAGTTGCAGGTGCTAGAGGATTTCAGCTCTTTATCAATGCTGGCGTGCCTGTGGACTCAGAAATGATAAGTCATTTTGTAAATGAAGCTCTCAGTGAAACAATTGCGACCATGCTGGGTAACAAGCAGGCTGAGGAAGCAGTTCCTGCTACGAATGTTCTTCCAAGCACGATGGCTGTGATGGTAAGCATCCATTTTATTTAAACTTTTCTACTGAAGTGCTGCGGGATAATTTCTTTGTGGTACGATGGTTCAGCTGTGTGCGAGACAAAGATGATGGAAAGAGACTGATCAACTGAATGTGCACAATTTGCATTTTTTAATTACTCCTTATTAGACCCCAGCAAGCAACAAGATTAAACCTATTTCACTGGAAAAAAAAAAAAAAAAAGTAATTCCTTTGTGCTGCAGGCAACACGTGACACTTACTTATTTATTTACCTTAAGGCTGAGCACAAATCTGGTTTCTAAGGAAAAGGCTTGGTACTTAATTTCACGTGGACAAAAGATAGCTTGTGTTACTTTCAATGAAAATAGCTGTGTTACTTTCTTGCGAAGAAATGAAACAAGAAGAAACTAATTTCTTCATATAAGAAGCAATAGATGCCGAGAGCAATATTACTTTTGGTTTTAGGGGCTTGCAGCTATTCTTTAATATCTGTAAAAATGAATATTAATTCCTTCTAAGTTTTGAGTTCTGTAGTTTTCGGTAAATGCTTAAATGATTAGTAGAGCTTCCTGTAATAGAGGATAATTTCCTCCATTCCCTTTGATAATCAAATGACAGCTGGCTCTTATTTTGATAACAACATGGCTGTGCTACAATCTGGTGTTGTATAATGTCTTTGGGATGAATATGGAAATTGCTGCCCTTAAAAATCTAACTGTTGCGGGCTCTGTTGAAAATGAGATCAGTCATTCTGTTCTGCTACAGCGCATACAGGCTGAAATACCACCTAGTGCCTGCTGTATGTCACCACGAGATTATTCTATAGTAGAAAGTAATCACTGCACTCCCACAGGCTTAAACGCAGCCATCCTGCATCTAAAGAGCCCTTCCCCAGTCCTTTACAAACTAAGGAGGGCGTGACGTTGAAGAGGACTGTTCTTGTTCGTGCAATGCTTGGAAACCTCTTCTAATAACCATTCCACGTTTACTGATGGCCCTCTTAAGCCTCACATTTGTTTCTGTACCAGTTTAAACTGAACTGTCCTTGGGCTGAAATGGTTGTTTTCTCTTTACTATATATATTCATTTGTGCACTTGAAGAGACAAGTTTTGTCCTCTGTGGCCTCTGATTTGGCTAAATACAGCAATCGTCTGTATGTGTACCATTTTTCGACTCATGCCGATGGGCAGCACTTTTATGTTTTCCAATTAGATTGGTCCAGACCACAGGTAACACTAATATGCTAATAGACATTCTGAATAATAACATAGTATGCAAGGTGGGGTTTCCTCAGTGCCTTGTGCTATAGTAGTGAAACTCTCCTGCCTTCATTGGAAACTCTCCTGCCTTCATTGGAATCTCACATAGCTGATTATGTCTTTCCACATTTGTGGCTAATGATTATCCTTTGGATAACTTTTACATTCACAAGGTTTTCGTCTTCTCCTTTTTCCATTTCTGCTCAGTTTATGGCAGAAGTTCTTAAATATGTAGTTTGTGCATTCTTGAACTACCCTTCTTACTATGAAGTTTCCTATCTAGAATTTCCTCTGCCCAGGTACCGAGTTCTTTGGTGTTCATGTGGTCATGAAGTTGTGTGTGAGCTGCCAAATGTATTGGCAAGTTCCACTTCCCATAAAAGTTAATAAAAATCATCAGTCTGAGGATTTATTCTTCAGAAATTAGCCTGGAAGCCTTCCTTTAGCCCCATTATCTTGTTTTCTTTATGAAATTTGGGAGCACAGGACTGGAAAAAACCTGGGAAGGTTCATAATTTTCCTCCATAGCAACATAAATGACAACCATCATATATGTTTGTCAATTGTCTTGTTAATTAGTTTCCATTGCTGCCAAAAACTGTGCTTATGTTAGTGTTTTACTGTCTTGGCTATTGCTTTGTTTGTAATCTTCTCTTTAGCTGATTCTTATCATAAAATTATCATACTGACTCAGTTTTATGGAATCACAGAATGGTTTGGGTTGGAAGGGACCTTAGAGATCATCCAGTTCCAACCCCCCTGCCATGGGCAGGGACACCTTCCACTAGACCAGGTTGCTCCAAGCCTCATCCAGCCTGGCCTTGAACACTTGTCAATGTCATGAAATATTTTTTTGCTTAACTTTTGATACAATGTTCTATTAAAATTCACATAATCATGTAATTTATATTTAGGCTGGACATTAGGAAGCATTTCTTTACCCAGAGGGCGGTCAAACACTGGAACAGGCTTCTCAGAGAGGAGGTCAATGCCCCAAGCCTGTTGATGTTTAAAAGACATTTGAACAATGCCCTTAGCAACATGCTTTAACATTTGGTCAGCCCTGTCTTGGACAGGCAGTTGGACCAGCTGATCGTTACATGTCCCTTCCAACTGAAATAGTCTATTCTATACATAACGATTTTAAAACGCAATCATTCTAATACATAATTTACTGGTTTTTTATTTATATTGTCCATGCATACCATTTAGCCTGATGAAACATTATGTTTAGATGGAGGAGTTAGATGCATGAAGCATGTATCTAAGCAACAACTGTTCCTGTTCTGTGATAACCTGCCTTTCTCTCTCTTCCTTAGATATCTCTGGGGATACTTGGAAGATAGGAACTTTGCACTGAGATAATAACTGTGGTTATGATTTTTTTCCCCTCTCAGGAGTCTCTTGTGCCTACTCCATTGCCAACACCCCAGGCCACACCACCACAAACACCACCTTCAGAAAAAGAATGGCCTCCAGTCAAAACTCCAGAGCCCTCTCCATCTCTTACAGAAATGAGCGGGGATGTTCGTGAACATGAAGAAATTAAAGCAGCAGGTAGTGAAAATAATAATTGAAGTTTAGAAGTAGCAAGTATGCTTTAATCTACTGCCTTTAATTTTCTTCTTCAAAAAGATGTTATCTCTCAGGATAAATATTCTTGAGGCTATAATTCAAGTGGGAACTCATGTAGTACAAAAATTATGGGTTAATTCGTATGAAAAGCAAACATATTTTATTTGGTAACAGTTCTATTTTCAAACTTCTTGCACATTTTTATGGTCTGTGTGATTTCCACCCCTCCCAGCCCTTCCACGCTTTTTTACATCAGAAAAATAGCTGTCTTTTGCTCCTTCTTGTGTTTCTAATGTTAGTTAAGCCGAATTTACCCTCTCTAAGTAAAGCAGCTTAATTTCTAAAATACAGAGCAGTCTCTCGTATTAAAGGAGGTAAGCAATTCAGGTTTTATTTTAGCTCCTTTAGATGCCAAGACTGTACTTAATGAAACTGGTCTTGTCTCCATAACTATGAAAAGGTGTCATAAAAACTACAAGTGCTTAGTAGAACTCACTAGTTCTCTGTCTGAGTTTTCCTTCCTGCTTTCCTTTCTCATCTGAAATTTGACTTCACACATGCAGGGGTTGAGATTCCGGCTGCCACTAGTCGTGTGGGCACACCTGTGGTTACCTCTGTGAGTACGCCTCCTAAACCAACCACACCAAGCCCTCCTGCCTCAGAATGGGTCTCCAAAGCTGCAAAAATGGAAAGTCCAAAACCTCCAAACCCATGGGATGATGCAGAACTTCCTCTGGAAGAAGAGAAACCCAGTCCCTTAATGGAAGAACCATTCTGTCCCAAAGCTGTGTGAGTTGAACGGGCTGCACAGTTTCCTCATTTCTTAAAAAAAAAAACCCCAAACATATATTCTTTTTACACATATCCTCAAAAAGTCAGTAGAAAAAAATGCTTGATGCGTATGTTAGGAGGCATTGAGATAAGCCAGGACTCTTTCTTTGAATTGCTTGGCTTATATTTTGGAGAAAAATGTCAAATTGAGCCCTTTCTCAGGATTTATCAGTCCTTATTCCTTGTCCTGCTGAAATTTGTAATTAGTAAACTTTTATTTTACACCTGCCAGCAATAAGTGTAGTGACAATGAAATATTGTATTTTTAGGTTGGTGGTTTTTATTTTTTCCTTTTGCTTCAGTGGCAATACACATGGTAATTTTTAGTTCTAACCAGAATTTCATTAACATTGTTGTTTAACCATGTTGATTCTTGGACTGTTCTGTAAAATTCTGTGCCGTTTCCTTTGAAAAAATACTTTCAAATTAATTTCTCATCAGCAATGACATAAGACTTTAGTGTGCATTGTTCTGTTATGTATTCATAATGCATATTCTTACATTACAGTGAAATGTCAGTGGCTAATGATGAGGAACCAGAGGCCTTGATTTTACCATTTCAGCAGTCGTCAGCGAGGCCCTTGGAATCACTTCCTTGCGACCCACAGGTTCCGTCATCTGTGCCAACAGTTAGTTCTGGGCAGTCCACGCAGGAAAGCAGCCTTACTCTCACAGAAACAGAAACTGCAGACAGACCCATCTCAGAGGGGGAGGTACTCTTCAGCTATGGACAGATGCTGGCTGCAAGAGGTAACTAGCTTGACAAATTTGTGGGAAGTAGAATTTGGATTTTTTTGTTTGTTTGTTTATAAACTTATCTTCCCGTCTACTGAACTTGCATTTCATACATTTTCTTATAAATCTGCAAGAATTAACCTGGTCCTTAACTTTGTTCACTGTTCTGGATTTAAGAAACCTCATTGCTCTTTTTCTTGTCTCTGAAGAAAATGCTTCTTTTTACCAATGAAAAAACATTAAATCTGCTCTTTTGTCATATGATCAACCTGGAAAATAATTGGAATGTCTTGCAGAAGTGGTGCCAAGTTTTTATGGAAAGCAAAATGTAAGAGTGATTTTCTTGGAAACTGAAAATATGTTTTTATCACAGACTGGTTTGGGTTGGAAAGGACCTTAAAGATCACCCAGTTCCATTCCATCCAGATCCCTTCTTTCAATTTAAACCCGTTACCCCTTGTCCTGTCACTACAGACCCTTGTAAAAAGTCCCCCCCAGCTTCGTTGTAGCCCACCCAGGCACTGGAAGGCTGCAATAAGGTCTCCCTGGAGCCTTCTCTTCTCCAGACTGAACATCCCCAACTCTCCCAGCCTGTCCCCATTGCAGAGGTGCTCCAGCCCTCTGCCTTGGAGCATCTCCATGGCCTCCTCTGGACTCAATCCAACAGGTACACGCCCATCTGATGCTGAGCGCCCCAGAGCTGGATGTGTAATACACATCTGGCAGTAGGAATTTCCAACTTTACTAAAGCACTGTGTTGTAATTATTAAAGAATACGGCCCTGGCTTTCTTTCATATAATTTGCATATTATATGCATATATCTTTTATATAATTTTTTAATATTTGTAACTTAAAATATTTTTCAGCCTTTGCAGGAGGAGATTACTCGCTTCCAAACCTCGCCGAGAGCTTAACCAGTACTTTACGAGATGCAAATGAAATGGTAAGGAAATGTTTCACAAGGAAACCGAGTTAGTGTGGTATTCTCCCTTGAGCATCTTATAAATTGGATATGCTTTAAGCATTTTCACTGATATAATGTTTACCTTTAAACTGTACACTTGTTGGAATTACAGAGATCCAAAGAAAAAAGCACATTATGCTTTTTTGACGCAGAAAGATAGGAAGCAGTGGATGCAAACTGAAATACAGGAAATGCCATTTAAACATAAGCCAAGCTTTTACTGTGGGGATGGCCAAACACTGGAAGAGGTGCTGCCTTATGCAGCTGGGTTCGACTAGTTGATCTCCAGATGTCCCTTCCAACCCCAGTAATGCAAAGTTTAAATGTCCTCGAGTAGGAGTCCTCTTTTCTTCTCTCTCCTTGCCTATCCTTAAACATTTCTATCTAATTATTGCAGCCTTATGTATCAAGTAAAGACTCTGCGTGTCTGTGGGTAAAAGGAGAAAGCAGTGTGTTGTCCATTTGCTTGTTTGTAAATGCCTAGATTTTCATGACACGAGTTCTTAGTGTGGAAACTCTAATGACCTACTGCAAAAGCAAAAAATCTTAATTGTGAATGAAAATAAAAATGATTCAAGTTCCTAGAGTTTTGGATCACGTATTATGTGGATTTTATTTCTTTGTTTTAGGATTATGATCCTCCTAGTGAAGGGCAAGTGGTGAGAAGACCGGACAAAGTCTATCACAGGGATCCTGTCCTGACTCTTTTAGCCAAATTAAATCAAGCCCCTGGGGTTGCACAAGAAGGAATGTACAGTTCGGAGGTAACTTACAGCCCTGTTCCTTAGAATACAGTAGTTTTGAAGTGCTACTTGCCTACTCAAAAGTAGATGAAGTATTTCAAGCTTGTCCTTGCTGTTGGCTATAGAAACAGGTCCATACATTTCATTCCCTGCTGGAAGTGATCCCAATTCTGTTGTCTCTGTTCTCATGTAAAACATTTAAAGCCACTGGAGGTTAAGTGTTGTTATAAACGAGGTGGCAATACGTAGTGTCACATGTACCTGTTTTTTCAGGATGGGTACGTGACTGTTTCGCGCTGATCTGTCCTGTGATTTTGAACAGCAGGGAAGTTTTCTGTTCCTTCAGCGATATAGGTGGTATGTTTAAGAGTACAGGTTCACTGCATTTAACAGCCATATGGGTGTTTTAGGGAGGTATGACGAATAACTCAGCAAATGTTTACGTGTGCTTTTGCATATGCTGTTGATGCAGTTCTTAGAACAAAACCTCAAAATATTCATACTCAGTTGGCAGAACAAACAGGCTAACAGAAAAATATAACTGTCTGCATCACTAAGGACAAAAGTAATTTTTTTGTCGCATATCTAAGTATTTTCTATGTGGAAAATAATAGGTTGGATTGGGCAGCTACTCTTAACTGATGTAGCTGGAGGAATGTTTAAAGGAAGTGAACTTTGAATACTGCAACATGGTTCATGAACACCTTTATTTAAAACTTGCTTTTTGTGATTTTATTGATGCATCTGCAGTTTCTTCCTTTTGTCTGGGTCAGTTTAGTCTAAATAATTGCTAACTTCACTCACCTTGTTAACTGTTCCTTTGTCTGTCTTTATTTTGCTTAATGAGCTCTGGTGGATGGACTCAGTGAAAAGCTTTCTACCGTGTCTGCTCAGAGTCTGACTGTAATTGTACTGACATTTTCTCATCAGCACTGCCAATTACGAATGCATCTCTAATTTGCTTTTTCCTTTCCCATAGTCACGGACCACTCAGTCTGTCCATACAAGACACTAATAATCTCCTTCCCCACCAGATTCTGGCAAGGTGTGTGCAAGCACACCTTCTCGTTTATAAGAAAAAGAATATCTTCTTTGGTGTTACTAATATTGCCTCAGAATAATACTCTGCACGTGTGTGCATGTGTCTTCAACCTGGTTTTCTGCGTAGGAGCAAGCTGGTTTTTCTCTGCAGCTTTGAAAGTCAACATCCACAGAAAGCCCTATTTTATCTGCCATCCAAACCTATTTAAAAATTGAACTTCTATCTGACTTGCTATACAACAGAGAGTCAATAGCTTGTAGATGTTTGCCATGTTACAAGGTCAGGCGGTCAACAAATACCTTATGTGTAACGTTAAAGAATAATGTGCTAAAAGTGTAACCGGTTCTGATCATGTTGGGATACCACTAGCAAAATAAGGCTGTAAGTAACTCTTTTCTGCCCGGTACTGATAAATGTAGATCTTGCTTTCAAACCCAGTTAGATGATCTCTCTTCAGATTTAGTTTTCTTTATTCAATGCTAATAGTATAGACTCAAGTTTATGTATGCTGTAAGGGCTAACACAATTAGGTAACAATGCCTGGTTTTGGAATAGGTACTTCACGGGGTTTATACCTGCTGTTCTGGTGTTGCTGTTCTATGTAGGATTCTGATGATAACAGTGTTGGGGAGCTCAGTGAAGGTCAAAGACCGAGGCTGACGCAAGCAGCAGAGAGAATCCTAATGGGACATTCAGTTTATATGGACCATCCCACTGCTCGGACTTCTGAGAACAGACCGTACCAGCATTTCCGTTCTCCATCGCCAGGGCAGCTTGCCCAAATTGGAGGTACAATCAGACTGCTATTTCTGCTCTGTGATATTTATGTGGGTTCTGAGTTTTTTTTCTTGAACAGTATCTGAAGTAATTTCAGAGAGTATTTTCAAACTCCGGTGTTAAAAATTTACAGGCAATTACAGGATTAGCATCCCTATTCTATAACTGGATTCATTTCAAATCATGTCTTCACTCTTCTTTGTCTCTAATGTTCTACAATTTGAATAAAAATCATGCCACGTACCCATTTACCTGTACAAAAGTTGACTTGTAAAGTATGTATTTTATTCTTTTAAGTCAAATTCAGTTCCTAAAAACAGCTTGACTACTCTTGAAGTTGATTTCCATAGGACAGGTAAGAACACTGGCAGTTCAAGCTACTTCCCTGTTCCCATACTCAGCAATCCTCCTTGTGGGTTTTTTCACTCCATCAAGGTGATACTGCCGTGTCTCATAATTGGTAATATATTTTAGCTTCATATATTCCTATAATAATATGGAAATTTTTCTTTTCTCAGATAGCTGAGGCACACACGTAATGGCTTGTACAAGGTGGTGCAGGGATAAGTTGCTGTGGTAAAAGCAGGGCATTAATTATTTCTTTTTGGTTGAAATGTGCTGTAACCAATTGCCAATCCTTCCTCTCCCTTTTTTTTATCCCAGTTTCTCTATTGTTATCTGAAAATGTACTTCTATACTTGCTTAATTAAACTGGTGCAAGCATTTAGATACTGTTTTGTTGACTGGTTTAAAATAGGATTAAAGTGGAATAATTATTATGCTGATACAACACAAATATGGTTGCACTATTTCATCAAATGTTGTGTAAACTAAAGTGATCAAAGAGCTGTTTTTCTGTCCTTTTAACTTTCAGAATTATGATTTTGACAAGAGAAGCATATCTCACATTATCAACCCTTGACCAGCAGGAAGTGGATTGAAATTGAATGTGTTAACACGTGGCAAAAAATAATCTCAGAGAAATGAGAGTATTTGCTTAGTTTTGAGCTGATTCCCGTTCAAACTGGTTATACAGAGAGTAAGCTTTTAAGGCTATCTGTTGCCTAACATTTTGGACCACCTACACCAGCCTTGAGAATAGGTTCTTGTGCATTATACATTATCAAACTTTTACTTGAAAGTAGTTTGTTGAATGTTGTTTGGCGATCTGTTACATGAGGCTCCCTGGCAAAAGGCATTTTTCCAAGTCAGTTGTTTAACACTGTGTTGTTAGAGGACAGTCAGTGTTAAGAACACCGCAGGAGTAAGTTAGCCATCTAGACCAACCTGCGGTAGGTCTCCAGCAGTGCTCAGGACCATACAGAGAGGTAGAAGACGCGCCTTAGTGGGAGAACCTTTCTGCTAGGGATATTACCTTCTTACCCAGGCTGTCTATAGCTGTATCTGGCATAACATGCTTTCATCTTTTGAATTCATTTAATTTAGGATGCCTTTTGTCTGCCTAATATCCGATAGTAAATATCTAGTACTTTTCAAAACTGGCTCCTGCATGTGATGATAATCTAGGAGCAGTGTGTTTCTTAAATAATTTTTATGTTCATCTCTCTAAATCCTGTAGTTTTGTTTCTGTTGTAGTATATTTTTTTAGAGGCGGCAAGTGCCCTGGACTAACTACCACAGGGGAATGCCCTGTTCTTTTACACGGTCTGTAATAATCCCAGACTGAGTTCTGTTGCATTCTGGGGACTTTGCACTTTGTTTCCCTTCCTCCCCACCTCTGAACACACAGCACAGTGTTTGCTGACGCTGCTAAGGAAACACATTTTACAAAAGGTAGGATCTGTTTTAAAGACAAGAGTGTGTCATATCAGGATGGAACACCAAATTTTGTCTCCAAGTCCTTTTGATAATGAAGTCGGCACTGAAGAGGAAATAATCTGTTCTTGGGGGAAGGAATGATCCAATTGTTTCCACTTTTCTTCCAAATCTTTTGTCTCTGTCCACTTACATGTGAGATTGCATGTCCTATTCCAAGTCAGGACTAAGTGCTATTTCCTGATAGTCACAGCAGTTACAATACAGGTCCATCATTTTATTTCAGAATTTGTTTTAGGAGTGAAATTAACTAATTGTTACCCCAATGGGTGTAAAAGTTCATATATTTCACAGTGTACTTCTCTCTTCCTTGCAGTGGACACTCAGTTTCTCTGTCAGAATGAGTTACTCATAGATATATCTGTAAGAATTCTGGGGATTGTGTGTCTATGGGTATCTTCAGTTTTGTGACCAGTTTTTGTTTGTATTGTGGAAACATGATGTCTGTTTGTAGGATGGAGAAGGTATTGTTTATGTAGGTATTTAATAGCATGTTGAAGATTGGTCTTTCATTTATAAATCCTTGCTTTCAGTGTTTAAAGTCAGGGATATAAAAAACAATATGCAAATGAAATGTGGCACATGTAGCCTTAAAGTGAACAATAATTACAGTTAATTAAGCAGTAATTATAGTTAGGATTAAAATTCATTCTTTGGCTCTGTGTGATAGCAGAAGGCTAAAGTTAGTTCGTGATCTGTCAGTACATTTATCATTAAGATGCTTTACACACTTACGGGCTGCAAAAGCACAGTAAATGCTCGATTATATGGCAAATTATCCCTTTAAAAAACTATGTACAGGTTTCTCTTCATTCACACAACAGTGAAACATCTTTATGAAGAAGCCTTTCCAATCTCTTTCCAATCTGTGTGATAAAGCTCATTAAGCATATAGTGGTATGATGAACTGTACAGCACTGCAGCTATCATAAATGCTTGCCGTGTTAGAAATCCATGGATGATAAAACTGATTTATTTTTTTCAATTTCCACAGACATGTATTTCTTATTTTATTTTTCCCCATAAGAACAATTTAAGGGATATACAATGAGCCATGTAAGGAGGAAATAATTCTCTTTCATGTTGCATGTCTCATTTTCGAATCTTGAAAGACTCCACATCCTGCCACATGAGTTGACCAGGAGATTGTTGCTCCAGCTTATCAAGGAACCTTTTTCTCTATATCTTTGTCTTTCAGCAGAAATCATTGGAGATGCAGATACAAGTCGTGGTCCAATGCTTATGGCCGAACTGGAATCACAATCGGTTTCAAATCCTGTTCTGCAAGCAGCCCAGACAAGCTGCAGAGGGACATATCTCTCAGAGGATTGGTCCCAGGTAAACGCAAAGGATCTTTTCTGTGACTGGTCAGAAAGTGCAAACTGACACCTAGGAAAATAAATTTTCCTATTTTTGCTATGGTGACTGACATCACAGTAGTGGTGCATTTAAAGTGACACGTTCAGCTGAGAAACTCAAGGCAAATGTACATGTATGTAATGTAATAAAAATGATTGGTTTTGCTGTGACGGAATCCCTACAACATGCTTTCTGTTAGGCTCAGACTTCTCTGCACTTCCTCACAGCTTCACTGGTCTCACAGGATTTAATACTGTACGTACTCAGTTCAGATAGGGCATTATAGCATTTTAGGGGCGCAGTGCTGCAAATACAGAATAACACAATGGATATATGGGAAAGGAAGTAACAATAGAGGTTTGGCCTCACCATTTGTAACCCACCGATTCAGTACTGCAGGAGCTTCAGTTGCCCTCATAGGGGCAAAGTTGGAAAGGCAGTAATGGGGATGTACCTCAAAATACTTGAAGGTAGAGGAAGATCCTATTGATCTCTGCTTGAAACCTATAGAGTTAATCTGTTGCTACTTTATTAGGATGTGCTGTTTCCTAGAGATGATGGTTTGCTCGCTAACTACAGATAAATTCAAATAGCGAGTGGCAAAAGCTAAAAATGAGATGGCAGATTGCTCTTAAATATGTTGAGCTTCACAGTGTGTTTGAATGTAATAATATTCTTACCATGGTTGCCATGTTCATGGATGCATTCTGTCCTTCCCTGATGCTATATATTAAAAATAACCCAAAGCATCTTGTGTTGACCTGCCTTGGGTTTTATGTTTTTGAGCCTTGATGTGTATCGTGCCATTGGAGTCTGAGCAGTTCTTAGACATGTTGCTGAAGTGATGTGTTGCATCTTCAAAGAGGATTTTGTATGTTATACTTCCTTCACTTTAAGATCACCAGAACACATTATTTCTTGCAATTATTGTTCACAGGCAAGGCTAGATTCTGTTAAACTGCTCTGTCTGTTGGGGTGAAGCTCTTATCCTTGTTACCATTCCACTAGCCAAAAGTAAAAGGAGCAGAGAGGGTAAAACATGTTTCCTTCTTTTAGCACCATTAGCTGTGATTAAAAAACACAGACATACCTGCATCTCATGCTCTGTAGAATTAGCTATTGGCATTAGGATTGATTTTTGTTTGCTTGGGTACAGGCAAGTGATACTGTATCATGTGTAGGGCACATGTAAAGTACATGTATGTAATAAAAATTTCATTTTAATGCAGTTCTTACCTATGCAAGAAATGTAAGGTGATCTGACATAGTGCCTTTCATAGAAAATATAGATAGTTGTATATTATCTTATCTTTAATATACAGATAGCTGTATGTTATCTTTAGAAACTTTCTTGCATCTGAACCCTTAGCGTGGGTTTTTTTTGCCTCCTGACATGTAAAACTCACCCTCCCACCAAACCATCCCCTGAACTTTGTGTGTGTGGCTTTGTTTGGTTTGGTTTGCCCCCAAAACAAAATTATCTCTTCCTGTATGTGGGTGTTCCTGATGTAAGACTCCCAATCACTGTTTCTCATGGATTAACTTTTTAGCTTTTCTATTACGTGGTGGTAACTGTAAGCGATAACCACAGCAAACATCTATCCTGGGTGGGGCAAAGCCATGCTCTGTAAGATCCTCTGCTAGAGCTGTACATCCTTCTCTGGAAAAAAGAATTAAAAAGATCCCTGTACCAGGTGATTTGAAAGCTTGTTTTGACAGCATCTCTCTTCCATGTAAGAATAATGATGAGCCTTTCCCCTAATTTCAATTAGGGATGGCATCTGTATTCAGGTCTACGGCTGGATCTGTTCTGTCACCCACCTGTAGGAAACAGACTTTCTGGTAACTTAATACCAGCTAGGAGAGCAAGAGATACTCAAGCTTTCAGAATGATTCATCCTGTGCAGTGTTCAAGGCAACAGTCACTTCAACCTTCTTGGAAGATTTCCTCCCAAGTTAGTCCCCGACTCTCACATCAGTTGTTTCACATCTTGTTTTTCATCTGTAGGCAGTGTTGGCCTTCATTGAAATGAAACTGTTTCAGCTATGTACGAAGGATGAATCTATTTAGGAGCAGAAGTCGGCTTTTCATGGTGTTTGCTGAGACCTGAGAAAATACACTGTATTTCAGATTGTCTCCAGCTGGGCCTTGTTTTGGCAGAGTTTTGTTCTGATTTAACTGGGAATGATCCTCCTGGATGTTAGGGTTTGTAACAGCAAAGCTCATGTGGTGTTTACACGTCATGTTTACACGTAGTGTTACAGAGCTCTGTAGTCCCTCTGAACAGGATCCTTCTTTCAGGGAATTTTTGGCAGTGATGTGGAGCTGCCATATACATAACACTTGTTTGCTCCCTGGCACCAAGGGTGTAGATCAGGTTTTGACCCGCAGCAAGAGCACTGTCTTTCCATGTAGGGCAGGAGCAATGCCTTTTAATCAGGAAGAGGGAAGTCTGGGTGGTCACTCACTCACAAACAAATGGCTTAAGTCATACAGGAATTTTCTTATCTACCCAAATTCCTTGGCTGCTCCTCCATTTCTGGCATTGGATATTTTTGAAGATTTATATATGATTTTAGCCACTGTTAGACAGACTGCCAGACTAAATGCATCTTCAGTTTGACCCCTTCTGTCCATTCTTGTGCAACGATACAGGAATTGACTGTTATTTGTGGCCACTTGGCCCTTGTGCTTTTAGATCTGAGAAGCAAGAGGATGAATAAGAGGAAGCTGGGCTCTTCCTATTCTAGAGAAATAATTTTGATCGTGGGAGGGACATGAACATTGAAGTAATATTTGTGTGGCTAAACATTCCAAAGGTGGTAAATCTAAAAAATTTGAAGTCCCAAATGCATTGTTAAAACCTTGAAAAAATTAGTTGTGAAATCTTTTCATGATGTTCTTATATAAGTATGAATGTTTTTATGCAATCAACATTTTTTAAGTGGGATTGTCACGTTGGTATTCTCATTAGCTCTTATTTCTAGTATTTCAAAATACATGTTTTTTAACCTTCAGAAACTCATAATAGCAGGGTATGAATCTGTGTGTTATCTCTCAACTACTGTTTGCACCTCAGTTCAGTTTAAACTGGGTTTTGGTTTGTTGCATTAAAAATCCAGAACAATACTAAAAAGCCCTTCAAATAGACATTTAATTTTCTTTAACATTGGTGCCCTTTGATCACACTTCCATGAGACCTTCCTGCCTTCAGAAAATCATCTCAACTCTTTCTTAACTTGTCAGCTTTAAATGATGAACAGAGTTGGTCGACATGGCGGTGTGGAGAGGTGCCCCACTTAGTGCCACTCCGAACTGGTCCGTCCATGCTCAGAGTGCCTTGTGGAGATTCTAGCTCCATCTCAGGTGCCATGTCACTTTTGTCACCCAATGCTCGTCACTGTGCTGGTGAGGTTGTGTTGGTGCTTGTTTGGGGTGGCATCATCTACTAGTGTAGCCCTCTCTATGCTTTATTTACTGGGGGGTGTAAACAAGTCCAAGCAGCCGTTGAGGAGAAGACTGTGTCTGAATGGCCTGTCTTTTTGTTCCTCCTGATTTTTGCTGACACTGGCTTAAATGATCATGAAGCACATGAGAAGCAGTATCATTACTGTTGAGATTCCTGCTACTGTAGGAGAGAGTTGTTAACTCAAAGAAGTGTGAAGCCCTGATTGTGTAGTTGGCAACCTGCTTATTGTTTGCCAGACATAAAAATTATGTTCGTCTATATTTTTGGCTGTTTGTTTTGCTTGTGGCCTCCACAGTAGTGGAGGGTTTTTCTTACAGAACTGAAGCATACTTTCCTTTTCTTCCTCTTTAGCTTTTGCGGAGCAAAATAACACTGGTACTTTGTCATCAGGTCTTCAAGAGGATAACTGTGCCGCTGCTTCTCAGGGCACCTCATTTCCCCAGAAGTCATACAATAGTTCTGTCTGTAGACTCCAAATGCTGTGTGACAGCAAACATTTCTGATCTTTCTCGTGTTTCTCTTTCTTTCGTAATCTTAATTTAAAAACTTATATTTGTCTATGGAATCAACAGAATAACTGATAAAATATGTCTGTCATGGAGAATGCTGAAGCCTTCTAGGACTCTGTGACTCTGTTCTGTCCTTGGCCACAATTCTTCTAGATAACACATAAAATACCAAACGTACTTAACAAATGTGATGTCTCCCTTTTTAACGCACAGTGTGTTTGTTGCTTCTTCTAAGAAACTGTTTTCCTATGGGCCTTGTTGCAGACCTAGGTCCTGAAGAGCATTTCAGGAAGAGTGGAAAATGGTTTTAAAAACATGGTCAAGGAAATAAAATTTATACTTGGCATGGGTTTTCCAACCCGTGTGCTGAAAATTTCGCTTTTCCCTTTCAGCTTTCTCTTTTTAGTCAGAAAGAGAATACCGAGGGAGAAGTCCTGGGTATTGAAGAAAGCCAGAGGAATTCTATGTTCTTTCTGCCATATGCTTTGAGTAGAAATTGAGGGTCCTCTGTGTCTTCAGGTCTAAATGGCACTTTGCCATACCTACTGCTCCCAGGATGTTCATCTAGAGGAAATACCATTGCAGTAGGCTAATTCAGATCTGAATTCTTTTGAAGTTGAAAGGAAGGAGAACAAGTGCATATCCTTTAATGAATCTTTTAAAAACCTCTTTGGATGTTTCTTGAAGCTCCATGTAATTTTACTGTGCTTTTATATCACAAGTCAGGTTTGTAATATGGTTTTAATGTATGATATGTAGGAGGAAAGCCGAGGAGATGCACAAGTTGAGACCGTGAGACCCCGAGTTATTCATGTAAGAAGGAAGTCTGAAGAGATGCAACAAGAAGGTAAATCAGTGTTGATAAGCAAATGTAGTTCTTTCAGTTAAGCACATCACTTTTAAATATTTTCATATACTCATGTATGATAAAACTCTACATTTTTAAGTTTTGTTTTCATTACTACCCAATTCCCAAAATATCCACATGTTTATATACAGTGTGTATAAATCTCTGTACATTGTTATGATGATGTTGGGGTGCACTGAAAGGATTGGAAATGCATCTGTATGTAAGTCATCAGAATCCTTACAGTTAAGTATTTATTTAGATTTTTATTCGCCAGGAGCATTGCAGTGTGCATGTTATGTAGTCAGCTGAATCTTAATTGCTTTATAGAACGGTGTTCAGCAAACAAAATATTCATAATGTAGAGATAGATGACAGGAGTTCATGTGTGTGAGAAAATGCAAGGGTACTAGAGAGAACTGCAAGATAATACGAAGTTAAGATCATGCAAATGTGAAAAATAGAGATTTTCAGTGTCAAAATGGTCTGGTTTGAGATGGGATTCAAGCTAGTGTGTAACAGTGATTTTTCTTTTGCGAAGGACACTGTGTATCATCGGTACATAACCATGCTAATTTTGGAGATTACTTAACAGTGTTTGCTAAAAGCGTTAAGGTTCTTGCACGAGAGGGAGAGAATATTTTTTGTTTGTTGTAGTTCAAGTCAGTGTTGGAATAACATAAACTGCATATTACTACCATATTGAATTGTTTTAGCAGATAATAAGTTTGTGGAGGTGGTAGAGTTTTAATCTTACATGGAGCAGTTTTAATCTTACATGCTAGGAACAGGAATCTAAAAACCTGCATGTCTACAATATATGCAATTATAATGCTCCACCCTAGTATAGAAAAATTCTTCATTCAAGCCCTTTTAAAAATTAATTCTTTGAACTTCTTCCATTTAATTTTTTTAAAACATCTAATTGAGTTATAATGCTGTTGGAATTATGTTGTTTCAACTGTATATAAATGGTAAGAAAAGCCCTAGGCCAGTGTTATTGGTCGTGGGACTTGGAGCCTAATTTCAAAACCACGGTTTACATATGAAGAAAGTTATGAATAATCTAAAACTTGGCTTCCATGGACAGTCAGTGGAAAAGCTTACAGAATTGAAGTGGCACGCTGTAATGCCTGTATATGTTTTGTTGTAGGGACATTTGTCAACCCATGGTTTTAAAGTTGGTAAATTAAATAATTTATGAAAAAATGGGGGTTAACTATTTTATTTAATGTTGGTGGAAAGTGCTGCAATGATATTTTTTTTTTCCTAATAGGAAGGAACAGTATTTTTCCTCTAGTGTTCAGAAAATCCAAATTGCCTAAAGGAAGGGAATTTTCACTAAGTTGAGTGTGACCTCTAAATCAACAAAAAGGGAGTTATGTGCCTTGCAGGATCAACTTGTTCCCAACTTTAAAAGCAGTTTTCCTTAATAGTGGTTATAGGAATCTTCCTTTTCTTCTTCTTCCCCAACACTTCATATTAAGCATCAGAGAGAGGGAGGAAAGGGACACTCCTCCTGTGCTGGATTCAGCCAG